CAGCACAGCCTTCCGGTGTGTCTACCACACCTCCCAGTTTGGTGTCAGCAGCAAACTTGCTGAGGGTACATTCTAACTCTTCATCCAGGTCGTTGATGAAGAAGTTAAACAAGACTGGGCCCAGTACTGACCCCTGAGGGACACCACTTGTCACCAGCCTCCAACTAGACTCAGCGCCGCTGATGACAGCCCTCTGAGTTCTGCCATTCAGCCAGTTCTCAATCCACTTCACCGACCACTCATCTAGCCCATACTTCCTGAACTTCCCTAGGAGGATATCATGGGAGACTGTGTCGAAAGCCTTGCTGAAGTCTAGGTAGACAACATCCACGGCTCTCCCGTCGTCTACCCAGCCAGTCATGTCATCGTAGAAAGCTATTAGATTGGTCAGGCATGATTTCCACTTGGTGAATCCATGCTGAAGTCATTGCAATAGTATAGATACCAAACACTTAAAATTCAATTCATAAAAGGCGCATCAGAACATGAATAAACCACATCTTTTCTGTACAATTTTAACATTGGTTTCTTTCTAGGATATCGTAGTGCCCTGCCAGAGTCACAGACGCATATTTCGGCTCTTAACATCCTTGCCTGCTTCTGACATGCCCTTAGCTGGAAAATGTAGGCTAAGTGAAATGGTGTGATGCAAGCACTTCTGCATTTCCCCAAGGATCAGGAAGCAAAGACAGTCGCTTATGATATACTGCAAGGGAATTCCTAAAAATAGCCTAATATGCCTAGTGCTAGGAAAACCATGATTCTATAAAAAAAAAACATCAGACGTGTATGTTGTATACTATTGCCATGCAAACTACTGGAGATAAGTTTTCCTGGCTTATACTTGTATAATAGTGAAAAAATTTAGCCTTATAGTCATGTCCTTCAGATAACACAACTTTTCTCAGGTGGACATGAATTCACCTTCAAGTTCTGCAACACAGATTTCAATTCTGATACTGTGGCCTCTCCACAACCTTCAAAACTGGCTATAGCTGGGGGGAACAAAACAGTAGAGCTTGACACAGAGAGCAATTTTGCTCCGCTTTCAATACACACACACAGAGGCAAAAGACAGAAGCAGAGATCTGACAAAAGACAACTTTTTCAGTTTGCTTTGTCAGTGGAAAAAACTTTGCTAAGGGAGTCATACTGTATTTCAAGTCTACCTGGCGATATAATAAGTTTTAGAGTTCTGGATTCAAGTACTTAGTTTATGGGTTCTCAAATCAGAGGAGTAATAAATTACCAATTTCTGTGATTATCATCTATGAAAGGCAAAAACTACATAATGACTCAGTGGGTTTTATTACTGTAGCTATTCTAGGTCTTCTGTTAATTACAGATCTGGGAAAAATAAATGTTTTGCTACTGCTCTCACACGGTTCAAGGAGTATAAGTAACAATGATAAACACAGAGGTGGGGAAACCCAGTAGAATTGCTTCATTTCTTTCAATGAAATGTATCTGTTTAGAGGTTAATTCTAGATTTTCAAGAAATATAGAAGATATAGGCAATATTTATATAAGCCTGTGATAGAAGGTGTAGCAAAAAGATTATTGCCAATAAATTACTAAAGACAAATTCTACTTTTGGTAATTTTCTGTTCATAATCTCCTGTTCCACCAGCAGAGGCAGATAGAATGGACTCAATTAATGCACCGTTCTACCCAGGAACAGACAGAGCATCTTTCGTGTGAGCTCCTGCTCACTCTTACTTAAGAACATACAATGTAAATTAAAAAGAGATTGGTCTCCACTAGTTCTTTCCTCACAGATTTCAAAGATATTGATATAAAGTTGATTAAGGCATTCAAAAGAGGTTTGAAAAGCACTTATAAAGTCCTGTATAAACTTTGAGGAATAACGGAGTTTTAAGAAAAGCAAATATAAAAATAAATATACTCCAGAAGCTAACATGAGTGCTAAACTCTCAGCTATTAAAAGTCTAGGAATTGAGAAACTTCTGGTCTGATCTTTCAAAATCTGTGTCATTGGCACAAAGAAATGCTTCTCTCTTGTGTATGTGCTACCCAAGGAAACAATGCCTAGGACTTTCAAAGACAGGATCTGAAAGACTAAAAATTCTTGAGCATAGGAACATGACTTCATATCACGAAGGGGCTCAAGAGTTTACGCAAAAACTTTTCTTAGCAGATACTTTAATGCAAATCAAAACTAAAAAGAGTACCTTTGGGGCAGATGTTCTCCAAAACATGCCATGACTCTAAATGGCAGAAAGTACAATATTTTCAGAGTGAGGAAAGAGGGATAAACACATTTTCCAAAGGAGCCTTCTTTCAGTTCCTGCTGGTTAAAATTAAAAGCTTCTGGAACCGACTTGCAAACTCCAACAAATAACATAAAGAATGAAGTTGAATAAATCAGGTGAAAACAAGCATAGAATGGAGCTGTTACTAGGCAATCTCAGTAGGCAAACTGTGCAAGTTGGTCAAACTAGTTCAGTGGGAAAAGCACTGCCTGAAAGTTTCACAGCTGGCGAGACGTTCAAGGCAAGGAAAGCTTCTCCCTGTGGAGAAACCAAGTGAATTGTCTTGCTGTTTCATGAATAATAGTCATGCCTCATAAGAATGGAAACTTGTTCATACAAGCTACATTTGCACATAAATCAAATTCCAAGACATCTTAAAGAATCTTGTAATAACCTAATCTTGCAGCTGAAGAGACATGACTACCACTTTGTGAACGTGCAAAGCATTTGAGCAGGTGTAACAACTCATGTGAATGCAAATACAGGCCTTACGAACAATGAATTTATTCCTCTGTCTTCTCTATAAGTCAAAATGACATTGATCTATTATAGTTAATGCTCATATCCAGTGATCTCAAAAACAGTGGTGCAGAGGAGACAGGACAGGAAACACACAGATAAAATGTAGATACTAAAGCCTATCCATACCAAACCTATTCAACAGCATCACTCCTCTTACAGCAGGCAAGGGCCAAAACCCAACACCGTCTAGTATTGGCACCTGTTTGCTTTGATGCCTTGATTTATCTGGTGCAGAAAATTTAAATTTGTGCATCTTGAATAATTTTTTGCATAAGTTTAACCTAAATTTTACTTATTTTTTTCCTCGTGCCTTTCATGCTTACATAAAGCTATGTACTACAACTGATATTTTTTTGAGGTTATTTTATTCTCTTTGTCTTCTCTCCCTCTTCTTAAAGCAAATATCCTGAAATATTTTAATAAAAATCTTAGCATTTTAAAGCCATTTTGAACATAAGGTCACAATCTAAAGTGTATTAAGACCCACTAAGCAGGTTTGCAGCTCGAAAATTAAAATTAAAAAAATATCCAAACTTGAACACCTGAAACTTGTTAGGCTTCTAAATGTATACTGAGGCACTTAAGCAAGAAGTCTGATTTTCAGAGATAACAAATATCTGTAGTTCACTGTACAATCACCCACATTTTGAGGAAAATATAAATTCATACATATATTTGAAGTACTCTGAAGCTGAGAATTTGTTTTGTGGGCTTCATTCAGAAACAATACCTGAAGCTGGTGTTACAGAATATCCCAAAGTACAACACAAGAACAATCTTGGTAAACAAGGAAGAGGAGATACACTTTTATGAAGCTGCTTCACAGATCAGCAAGTTCTCTAATATGCAGGCTAGTCAATTTACTTTGGAAGGAGTACAAATTGATAAATCCCTTGCTATGCTTTCTGTCGATTGATATGATAAGATATATTTTACTTAAAATTAGGATTGTCTGAAGCTCAGTGGATTTAATTATTTGTAATTATCCAGTTGTTGTCAGTATGTGGCCATTTTATGACAGTGGTATCTACTGTGTGGGTCAGGTTCAACTGTATATCTTTTCAAACACAGAATTAATGTACTATTGATGAAACCATTACTAGAACCAAATTAAAGTCTGGGCTGATGTATTGGTCCACAGGGTGCTGTCAGACATGAAAGGAGTAATTAGTATTCATTACTTCATACTCTGCAACATTCCAATTATTAATGAACTTCAACTGCTGGACTAAACCATATCTATCACAAATACCTTTCTAGTCTTTCTTTATTAGAAAAAAAAATTTACAAGTGCCTGACACAACTACTAAAATAAACAAATAACAGAAATGAATCCAGACTGAGGAAAACTCTTCTTATTCGCTAACAAAGGGGTATATATATTACTAGTGCCCCACAAAGGAGACCTGCTGCATCTTCACTGAGCCACAGAACGCTAGGTCATGTAATGCTGCTAAAATAGTCACCACAAGAACCTGTATTTGAATAGCTTCATGTGATTGTGTTTGTGTGCATGTTTACAGCTCTGCTATGCTGCACGGAAACCTATGCTAGCCAAATGCAAAACTGTATTGCTGTGACCCTTGTACTTTTCAATCCAACTTCTTTCTACTGTTTTACATTCCTCTGTCTCATGCCTTAAAGACTTATTAGGCTGTGTAATTTCTGATCTCTCTTTTAGACCAGTATATTTCTAATTTTCAGTAGAGTTTCTTCACTACAGAGTCTAAAAAGCAAGCTATATGGTCTTACTCTGAAGTACTTAAATACCATTATAGAAAAACGCAACAAAATAGAATAATTTCAAGATCTCACAGAGCAGGGCAAGAGTGCATCTTCCAGGAGCTTCATGTACGCAAGGAGATTTGAGCTGTTGTGTATTGCTCAGATTTACTATCCAGGCACCAATGCCTGAAATATGGGGGGAAGGAGGGACAGAAAGCTTGGGTAATCTGTCCAAAACTGGATACCATTTTTATATAACTTATCTTGCTTATTTTTTCTTTTAACAGTCTGAAACTGTGCAAGTACTCTAAATACTCTGAGTAATATCTGAGAACTATCCAGAAAGCTTCAGGTGTATCTCTGACTTTTTATCAGAACAAACATCATATTCTTCAACATGAAAAATCTAGTTTGTTGACGTGTTGTTTGAAAACAGGAATAGAAGATAGGAACACTGTCAGGCTTTAAAATAAATTCAAATTTGAGCAGAGACAATAACATGGCATTTCAGCCTATCAGATGAAACATTTCATCAGTTTACTCTCATGCAAGCACAAATCAACATTATTCTTTCGGTGGCAGCTGCCTTGAAGACTCAGCAGTCACATTGAAAGTTTTAATGAAAAGTGATGGAAAACATTACAGACTAAAATTCTCTGCAACAAGGACTTGAGTACAAGCTCCTTTACTTTTCCTATTATCAGCCTGAAAATGTGTATCTAAAGGGATCTTAATTAGATCTTAGTAAATATTTTTGATGATATTTTCTAAATTTGACAACAATTTTTCAAAATCTAGGGGAAAAAGGGGGCATGGGAACGAAAGCTGAGATTCATAGACATCCCCCACAAAAGGTCAGAAAATGAGGTTACCCTTCCTTGTAGCACCTGCCACTCCTGCTGCAGCAGTGTCAGAACAGGCAAGACGCATTAACTCAGCCTTGTGTTACCTGGTTCAAATCTGCATCTCCCACTAAAATGCCCAGCTACAGACCTCTGGGGTGGAGCTCACACGGCTGTAGCCCTTCCATCAGGAGAGAGAGGTCAGAACAGTCCCTGCCCCTGTATATTTGGAGCACTCACGTGGGAAATGGGCCAAGGGAGATCTGGTGCTAGCAGACTAGGTTTCTTGGTAAAACTGAAGAAAGAGCAACACCACCGCTACATCTGCCTCAATGGATTAGTTAACACTATCAACTGGACTGGTTTGATGCACGGGATGTTTGCAGCAGTATATCAGTTTTTCCTCATTGGTCTTATTTTTTTCTTTTTTTTTTTTGTTTTTTCTTCCCCCTTTTAAGTCAGTTCATTGATTTGTTTCATGGGGTGGCTCAACAAAGAGTTATGGCAACACACTGTAAAGTGAAGACATGGTTTTCTTAGACTGATATTGCAGCTGGAAATTCCTATATTGTTAAATCCAAATCTAGCCTGTCATTTGCAATTCTTTCCCTTTTGATATAGACGCCTAACATGGAAATGAAGTACTTTCTTTTGAGCTGAATTATAATATATACTGCTCCTTGTTTTGTCGCTTTTTTGAAGTAAAAAAAATAAAGATTTTCACTTTGTATTGAGAAAGCGACATGCATGTCTACATTGTATTTTGAGTCCAATTTGTGAATTGAGAAGAGAATTTTGTAATCTAATCAGTCAGATGTAGATACTAAAATTTTAATATCCACTCATCACCAGTTTTTAGCCATTTTAAAAAGAATTAAACAACTACACGAAGAGTTATGAAGTATCAAGCAAAATGAGGCAATCAAAGCAATATAGATCCAGTTATCACGGAAAAATTTCAATTACACAAGCATACCTACCTTCCCTTTTTAACTGTATGTCTTCCAGGCAGGGGATCAAGTATGGGATCAATAGATTCACTCATGTTTTCGATTAGTAGAGTCTCTCCACAAGCCAAAGCTCTTTCAATGGTCATCAGAAAACTTCATATGAAAAATAAAAAAATATTAGATAAATGCTGGCAATAGAAACATTTCTTTTATATAATAGAATTGGCAAAGTTTTTCTAAAAGAAAATGGCTAAACCATGCAAAACTGTTCACAAAGAATTTCCCAGTGGTTAAGAGTTCAACATTTTTGAATTCAATACCTTTACACCTATGCTCTTGCTAGTCCTTGTATCAAACAAAAAAAATTACTGCTGGGGCTTTTCTTATAACCAAATATGAGGATCCATCCTCACACTGAAGACATTAGAATTGACATTGAGAAGCTGGGGGACCACATATATCCTTCAGATTTTGTTATTTTTTAAATTATATGTTTTTGTGTTATAGCTTTTGGTGTATCCTCATCTACACTATAAATGCTTTCTTGAAGGCATTGCATCTGAACGACTTGGAAGAACTCTGTTGCAGCAGGCACTGAGAAGAGAGTAGATAATTGTGGAAGGATAAGTAAGCCGACAATATAGCTTCATGCAGAAGGCTACTGCAGGGTATGAATCAAAATCACAATTATCTGTGAGGGTTGGAATAAGAATTTTAAAAAAATCAGGGCAGGTGAGGGAAAAGAGTTTGTTCAGAGGAGCAGACTACATGATAAATGATTAACACTTCATTTAAAAACAAGGCATTACTGTGACCATTTACAGCACTGCGTAATTGTGTGCTGTATCTGGAATTCAGTAAAATAAACTGAGATAGCCATTTGAAATGGAGCAGTTAAGTCTTACCTAGTTCTCTCCCTACATCAAAGTAAACATGAGAGAAGATATGAACAGATCAATTACATGCAAGTGCTATCAACTTACCTATAATTCAGTAATAGTAACAAGAATTAAAAACATGTTTATCAGCAAAACACTTGATAATAGGCTTTTGCCTTGAATGCCATACACTGGATTGACTTTTTCCCTCTGTGTGGTGCATGTGCTGTGTTCTGCTGACTAAACTGTACAGTATAAGCAATGTTGTATCATCAGGATTTGCACCTTACATATTGAAAAATTGATTTGCCCCTCACAAGAAGCACACCCCTACTTCCACTTCATTTCCTCCTCAACACTTGCAAATAGCATAAAAAAAGGTCCTCTTTCAAGCAACATTTTAAATGGAAAAAATGCTATGGATGAAAAAGCAGCAGTGATTTAATATTTCAAGTCTTCAAGTAAATGCATTCCAAAAAAACACCAATCCCTTACAAAAATTAGGGGAACTTCAGGGCAGTAAACGTGAAAGCCAATTCCTCAGCATGCACATACCCTTTCTGTCCTAGATGTACGACTTTAAGGTCAGCTCCATATTTATTCTTTATCCATTTAATTCCCTGTTGCTGGGGATCTATCACCAGAGGCCAGCGCTCGCAGTTTGTTAGAATAGTGGCATTTTCTGTTGACATCCTATCACCAGGCAGTCCCTCGTTACTCCATGCCGCAATCGTAGCATCATCCGTCAACGTGGCAATTGGGTCCAGGCCTTCCGTCACAGGAATAGGAACCTTTGAATCAGAGTGGAATATAATCATCCAGCAAGGTTACCAAGCAGCAAGACATGACTCAGTGCAACACACAAGATAACTGGGCTGATATGAATTACGGCTTTCTAGGCAGAAAAGTAGAGAGGATCCAAATGGTGTTTCAGATGCAAAAGAATATACTAAGAAATGTGATAAGAGCAGTTTATCGTATTTATAAGAGATTTTTTTAATGTGCTTTTATTTAAGACATTTACTTTATAAAAATATTTATAGTCTGATAAAGTTAAAAAACCACCACATATTATGAATTTCAGTGTATACAGATTCTGACATTGCAAATTCAATGCTCATGTATGCTTCTTAGTAGGTATTTCTGGAACATAAATCAGTATTTACCTACACAAAAATTATAAAAAAAGAGGATTCCCATGGTGTCTTATTAACATAGTTCAGCTATATGTTAACAAGGTCAGAAGGGAGAGAACAGCACCATCTCCAGGAGCAGAGGCAGCCTTGGAGCTCCCTGCATGGCACCAGCTGTGGCAACGCTCTCCTGTGAGTGCCTGTTTGCTAGGCAGGAAGCCATGATCTCCACGTGCACTTCGAGCAGCCACCAGCCAGCCACACGTGCTGGGTATTAACTTGTCACAGGCATTGACAAGGACATGAAATCTAAAAGAAGTGGAACATGTGAAATCAGTGCTTACCAAACAGGTATGGGCAGGAAGGCAAATGCCTACTGCAACACAACAGAGTAAGAGAGAGTGAATAACTAAGGTGTCCGGAAAAAAAAGTGGCTAATGGAAGCATAACAGAAGATCTATACCGGATGCCTGGAATTAAATTTTTCCCTGCTGAAGCAAAGGGTAAACCCCCACCAATTCCTCACAATGTTATCCCAGGCTTCCTTATTTGTGATTTCTGGATTTAATTCTAAACTCACAAATTAAAGAAAAGCACAGCATCATCAGTATTTAGCCTTAACTATCTTCTACTCCACTCAGAAGTGCTTTAAAAACTCTTTAATCAAAATATTCCTCCTCCCTAGACATGTACAGTCCTTAGCGCTGGCTTGTAGACTGGAGATTCTTTTTAAAGTGCACACTAAAATAAAAAGCATTTAAATCTGGTGGTTGTTTATAAAGAAAATCAGGATATATATTTAAGTTGAGACAAATTTGCACAATTAATAGTATTAATAAAAATGGCACCATACGTCTAGTGGAATTTCTGTGGCACAATGCCACAGTTACAATATTATTACAAAATACATACCAGCTTAAAATTGTCTGACCTCTGATTCTAATCACAGAGCCCGAAACAAACCGAACTTTTGATGAACTTGCTGAAAATACAAGCACAAAACAACCAACAGGCATACAGTCCCCTCTGCAAGCACGCAATGTGTTTATCTCCCATGTGTAACACATTTATCTAAATATATTAGAAGACTGAAAATATGATTTATTTTATCTCTGGACTATAAGGCAAGCAATACAATAATTTCCATGAGTTGAAATACTTCCTTGTGGAAAACACTTGCGTTGGGGTATTATCAGGGCTTCTAATACAAAATTTCATGCAATGCAAGAAAAATATTTTAATATATAGATACATCTGTTGTCTCTGTATCTGCGCTAAACTGACACTTCATGGTATAGAACTACTTGTTGTTCCTTCTAAAGAGGGCTATTAATAAATTAATGAATTATGAGAAAGAAATTGAGCAAAGGAAGCAGGAGACCTGCACGGTTGAACAAGAAGCTTCTAGCGGAGATCAGGTGGAAGAGAAAGGTCCATGGAATGTGGAAGGAGGGACAGGCCACTTGGGAAGAATACAGAAATGTGGTCAGAGCATGCAGGGATGCCACGAGGAAGGCCAAAGCCCACCTGGAATTGAAGCTGGCAAGGGGTGTCAAAAACAACAAGAAGGGCTTCTTCAACTACATCAGCAGCAAAAGGAAGGCTAGGGACAATGTGGGGCCGCTGCTGAATGAGGCGGGTGTCCTGGTGATGGCGGATGCGGAGAAGGCAGAGCTACTGAATGCCTTCTTTGCTTCAGTCTTCAGTGCTAAGACTGGCCCTCAGGAATCCCAGGCCCCGGAGGTAAGAGAAGAAGCCTACAAAGAGGACGACTTTCCCTTGGTCGAGGAGGACTGTGTGAGGGATCGCTTAAGTGATCTGGATGTCCACAAATCCATGGGCCCCGATGGAATGCACCCACGAGTGCTGAGGGAGCTGGCGGATGTCATTGCTGAGCCACTCTCCATCATCTTTGAGAGGTCCTGGAGGACAGGAGAGGTGCCCGAGGACTGGAGAAAGGCCAATGTCACTCCAATCTTCAAAAAGGGCAAGAAGGAGGACCCAGGGAACTACAGGCCACTAAGCCTCACCTCCGTCCCGGGAAAGGTGATGGAGCAGCTTATCCTGGAGGCCATCATCAAGCAAGTGGAAGAAAAGAAGGTTATCAGGAGTAGTCAGCATGGATTCACCAAGGGGAAATCATGCCTGACCAATCTGATAGCTTTCTACGATGACATGACTGGCTGGGTAGACGAAGGGAGAGCTGTGGATGTTATCTACCTTGACTTCAGCAAGGCTTTCGACACAGTCTCCCATGATATCCTCCTAGGGAAGCTGAGGAAGTGTGGGCTGGATGAGTGGTCAGTGAAGTGGATAGAGAACTGGCTGAATGGCAGAACTCAGAGGGTTGTCATCAGCGGCGCTGAGTCTAGTTGGAGGCTGGTGACAAGTGGTGTCCCTCAGGGGTCAGTACTGGGCCCAGTCTTGTTTAACTTCTTCATCAACGACCTGGATGAAGAGTTAGAATGTACCCTCAGCAAGGAGAGCAGCTCTGTGGAGAGGGACCTGGGTGTCCTAGTGGACGACAAGTTAACCATGAGCCAGCAGTGTGCCCTGGCTGCCAAGAATGCCAATGGCATTCTGGGATGCATCAAGAGGAGTGTGGCCAGCAGGTCGAAGGAGGTTCTCCTTCCCCTCTACACTGCCCTAGCGAGGCCTCATCTGGAGTACTCTGTCCAGTTCTGGGCTCCCCAGTTCAAGAAAGATGAAGAACTCTTCCCCACTTGCACGAAAACAATCAAAACTGAAATGAGATATTTTATTGACTGCTGTTTGGTGAAAGCATCTTAGAAAGGAAAAATCATAGAATCATAGAATGCTTTGGGTTGGAAGGGGCAGGGACATTTTCAACTAGAGCAGGTTGCTCAGAGCCCCATCCAACTTGACCTTGAACGTTTCCAGGGATGGGGCCTCCACTGCCTCTCTGGACAGCCTGTTCCAGTATTTCACCACCCTCATTGTAAAAAACTTCTTCCTTATATCCAGTCTAAATCTACTCTCCCTTAGTTTAAAGCCATTACTCGTCCTATCACAACAAGCCCTGCTGAAAATATTTTCCCCATCTTTCCTATAGACCCCCTTCAGGTACTGGAAGTCTGCTATAAGGTCTCCCTGCAGCCTTCTGTTACAGTATGGATTATTTGTTTTTATAAAAATGTTCAATCCATTTTAGATTAAATGAAAAGATTTAAGAACAATGTTTTTTTCCAGGTTCCCACTATTGAAAATAAATATACAGGGGTAATACCTATAAGCATTAGGCTGCAAGGTAGAAGGACTTTTTGAGAAAACTTTATCTGCAGACAAATTTTTGATGGAAGAGGACCGAGTGATGTTCTAGGCAAAACAAAGCTCCACACAAATTAGTGACTATTAAACTCTCGCACAAAGCATATGTCTGCAAAAAGATATCCCCATAGTTCTGAGTGCTGACCTTGGGAAGCTTGGATTTGGCTTTAACTGTATTTCCAGAGTCTTCTCAGCCTTAGCTTTGTGATTTAAAATGGGGTAAGACTTCCACACGTCACATATTTCAGAGAATAAACTACATTCCTTGTGATATAATGCTGTGATCTGTGGCACGTGAGAAACAGGAAACATTTAGGAAGGGGTGAGGAGCATTTGTAGCAGTAGGGAAGAAAGGAATGGTCCAAAGCTTCACAAGGAAGGATGCAGAAAGCTTTGCAGAGACAACTCTGAGGGTTAGAGTCTTCATGCATTTATTGAGTACTATCACAGTTTCCTCCATGTACAGAGAAATGGGGATGGGGCTTATCATAACTACATGCTCTTCCTGGAGCTGAAAAGCTAAGCAGAATATGTCTCTCTACACAGCTCTATCACTATTTATAGCATTTGCTGCTACACAGGTGTCACAAAGGACAGAATTTGGCGTTGAGAATTGGAAAGGGAAGGGATTTTCATTTGCCAAAGAGAACTTAACTTCTCTCTCTCATTCCCCTCAAATTGTACCTGTAATCTGAGGAAAGTATGTGTGTGTGTGCATACATATATATTTATATGCACACAAACATATACTGGAAAACAAATATCTTCAAGAAGCCACCTTCAAATACAGATCTGTACTTCAAATTCCTGAAAGACAGCAACTTTAACAAACCAGACTCTCGACTGGAGGCTCCCATTTTGTACAGTAAATTTTACCTTTTGTGACTTCAGAAAAGGAATCCGGAAGTGTTCCATCAGTTCCTGGCAATATTGTTTTGTGAAGGGTCCAAAACAAGACACAACTGCTGCTGTTAATAAGACGTCACCGCATAAAGTTTTCTTTTGTGCTTTGAGGTTTTCAAGGGACTGGCTCCAACGCATGTTCTCAGACTGCAAAGCAAAATTAGAAAATGTTATCTCCTGAGCAACTTGGAAGTGACAGAATGCTTAATCTCCACATTAAAAAGCAGAAGCGCACAAAAGCACAACAGGAAAGGTACTCTGTCAGCGAGAGATATGCCTCCTAAAACTGCAAGGCTGGAAACAATCCATACTTTCTGGTGGTGATTTGAAGCCTTTGAAGCTGAAAAAATAGGATGGAGCTCTTCATCAAGCATTCTATGTCCTTCCCTTGTCTGTTTTTTTTCAGTAATCGGTGCTGTTGTCCAGACCAGATACAGTATGGCAGACACGTGGCAACACTGGCAGCTTCTGGCATACTACTGCCAGGTACAGTGTGGCACTACTGCCTTGTGCAAAGTGCAGTCATTTCCAGCAAGATTCAGAAAAGGCAAGGAAACAAGAATATTAGAAGAACAAAAAAATGAAGAAAGGAGAAAAAGCTGTTTTGACAACCAAGATGTGACTTCTACATTTTCTCATGCTTTTTTCCAAGGGAAGTGGCAAGGCAGAAGAGTTGCAGGTTTTTTTCTTCTTATTTGACTGGCTTGTTTTACCTACTAGCTACAGCAGTTTTACTGAGTTAAGAGCTGTAATGATTTGGAATTTTGACAGGAAGAAAGACAAAGGTGGTCAAACACACAGGTTGCCCAGAGATTGTGGAGTTTCCATCCTGGGAGATATTCAAAAGCTTGCTGGACATGGTCCTGGGCGATCTGGTATAACCAAAGCAGTTTGAACAGCAGGGGTGGACTAGATTATCTCAGAAGCTTCCTTTCAGCCTCAATGATTGTGTCAAAGTTTAACTCTTAAAACTGTTTTCTTAATTCCACCCCCCCACCCCCCCCGAAAGCCCTGATTTCTGGAATCCCTTGTGCATTTTGCAGAGTTCATCTTAACCACGCTTACCCTGGGATATTTTGGATGAATAGCCAGGAATGGTCTCAAATATTGATGATTTCTTATTAGTAGCTGTATGCAAAGCTGTTATTTTATTCCAGTTACAGCATAAAGACAGCTCACTCTCTGTTTAAAATGCTGAAATGGTGACTATGGAATTTCAGAGAAATGAAAATATCTTCTTTAAAAAAAGTTAGTGTTTAAGATATGGAATAAATCATTATCTCCTTTTCAATCAGAACTTATGACATGGTATAAAAAACAAACTAGCAGTATTTAGCACATTATACTTTGATTGTTCTGTGTATACAATTCCCAGCAATGGAATGAATGTATGCTCAATTAGTTTCAGCCTGGAAAGGAAGGTAAAAATTGAACATTCGTTAGAGTCATCTTCAAACTGATGAAATTCTAGATGTAAAATTGGAATAGACTGCCATAACCTTTCTTCCTTGTTTGTATTGTTTGAAATACTCAGGATAAAATAAAAGTTGTTTCACAGTTTGTTCACTTGCATCAGGGAAACCTAAGGAAATCATTCTCCAGTGAGCAGAGGGACTGATGCAAAGAAAGGGCCAGCATGAAAGAAGGAAAGCACACTGCTGAACAACCTGTGAGGACTGTCCTTTACCCGCTGTCTGTACAGACATTTATTTTTCAGAGAAATCACAGTAATCAAAACATATTTTTCCAGTCCTTTACATGATGTAATCAAAATCAATGAAAACCACTGATAAGAAAGTATCCTCCATACTTCAGATAATTTCATGTAAAATGCCTGCATTTTGCTGGTGCTAGGTGCTTGAGAGCTTAAAAGAATACTCTGGGATGTGCTCACTCTTGAAAGCCTTAAAAATGTAAAAAATCAGTCTCAAATAACAACTCATTCTCATTTTAGAAGTAAATTTCTATGTGTACAAAACCAAAGTAACAAAATAATTGTTAAATTTGACATTCATGAAGTATACTCCATCTATATTTTTCAGAAAAATCAGAAATATTTACTGAAATGGATAAACATCCTATACTGCAAAGATATACACAGAATTCTATGATAACAGATGACTCAAATTCTTTTGTTATAAAATAGGAATATAAAATAGCCACTAAGAAAACGGAAATATCTTTAATCAAAGTACCATGCTTGGAAGAGTTAGCATTTAAATGTTTTGTATTGCAAACACAGGAACTCAATGTGTGAAGGCCTCCTAAACCTCAGTTACATTCATAAGAGATGCCCAACAAATGACAAGTAAAGGACTATTCCTGTTGAAAGCTTTAACAGTGATCTTTGTAAGGTAGCAGTTTTGTTTTGAAGTATTTTAGACATCCATTTTTGCCTACAGAAGTAATTAGATTATTCTTTAAACTATTAACTGAAGGTAACAAGACAATAAATCCATTGATTTAAAAGAGGGCTTTTTGATTTATCCATTCTCTCTTCTTGTTGTCACTGAGTGGTAAGTCATAAACAATAAAAAGCACCCACCTCGTTCTCCAAAATAGCTTTGAAATTTGAAGATTTACTAAACATAGAATGATTGTCTATTTAAATCTTCAGTAATTTTACCATACCACCCAAGCACCATAAATCACTAGTGACATTGGCTAACAAGGGTTTAAGAGTTGGAACATGCAGTGTAATAAATTTCCAGACAGTAAAAAATCACTATAATTTTATTCTAATGCATTATAGATTGCCTGTAATGTCATCCTGGCCGGGGTGACCCATTTCTAATTTTGAACAGCTGTTCAGCTTGGGAGTTAGTTAATGATTAAATATAAATTGCCTGATTTATTAGTCTGAATGGTTGAGCTTCCAGGTCAATGCTATATAGACAAAATCATCAGTCTTGATGCTTTTCAGAAGTTAACTGTCTCCTTTTCTAGTCAAAAAGAATTTATTCTTAGAGGGAAAGACTTGACGTTCTCAATTAATTCTTTTAAATATTTTCTCCCTTAACTTACACAATAAGATCACTAATAAAAAAAAATCTTGGAGAAAAACTTCTTTTAGCTATGTATAAACCATCAAATCCAAGTTGGAGACTACCTATGGGCAAAGGCCATTGGCTTCCACAGAGCTTCCAATGGCTTTGGAGGTCTGCTTGGGCAGGCCAACAGCAGCCATCTCAGGGACCTTGGGGCAAATGAAAGTTTTCATCTGCAGATAGTAACATCAACTTCACTGTTTTTCTACCAAAGCAAAGATTATTTACCAGTTTTGTATTTCTAGGCATATTAATATCAGAATCAGGTATTAAAAAAGAATCTGTTTTAATTGCACTGGGGTTTTTTGATTAGTCCTATACTCTTAAATAATTTTATTTCTAAACCTATTTAATCTTCTTGATTGCCAGCCTCTGCTGAGAGATTTGCAGAAACAAAAGTATTCACTCTGTGATCTTAGAAAATAAGGTCACAGGGATTTTATGAAATCCAACTTAAAAGATTTATTCAGACAGTCCTGGGAACTCATGTAGTTGTGTAAATATTTTTTGTACTTTTTATTTCCTGTTATTTACACTTATTTTTAAAAAGCAATGGTTAAAATTCTAGATCATGAATTATGATAGCATTTCTGTAGAGAGTTAGGAGAGACTGCACAGCAACGCTGTGGCTGACTTGAATGGTTACTGACCGTTAAATGGGCATGTGTTAGCTTTAATTATGCTTGTCTGCAAATAAAGGTAATAACCACACTGAAATATATATAATCTTAACATAAATACATTTCATTCTTATTTAAAAATTAATAGTTTCTGCAAAAGGAAAAAAACAAAAGCAAACAGCAAATATCTGATTGGTGCCTTCCACTTATTTACAATTTAAAGTGCAACAGGGGCAGATGCAGGGCGGCTCCATCCTGACCTACAGGATTATTCAGTCTTTCTGCTCATTAACCAGAGGCTGCCCAGGCTGTCACTATGTGTTCACAGTTGTGTATAAATGTGGTGACTTAGTTATCGAGACTTCTCGCTAGCAATCATGCCAGTATCAGTTGCTTTACAATACACGATTTTTAGGAAAAGCACTTGTGGTCCAGCACATTTTACTTCTCAGGATTTTATCATGGACTTACTTGTGGCTTATCCACCCCCCCTCCCCCCAGATGATTTCTAAGAAGTGTCATTGCCTGTCCACCCCAGCCTTTTTCCCCCACACTGTCCTCAAAAATTTAAGTTTAACCTCATGCTTAACAAAACATTTCAAATATTTCAAAACTCACTGTAGCAAGAACATTCAGGAAAAATCTTCTTACCTCAGGTCCTTTGACCAGCCTGTTGGCCAGCTCAATAGTCTTGTTTGTTTGGTTCATATCATCTTGATGTTGGACTTTCTCTGAAACTGCTTTCTCGAGTGAAGCTGTGAGCTTATGCAGATTGCTATCCAGGACCTATTCAGAAAAGGGATGGGTAAATATTACAGCTTAAGGTTTGTTGGGTTTTTGGTATTTTGTGGTTTTAAAAATTTTTCTTATTTTAAATAATATATTTTAATGACAATAATTGTAGACAGTATCTTTAAGTCTGAAGGTTACAAACTTTAGAGAAGATGTTGTACTCTAGGTTCCTTCTGCAGCTCCTGGCACAAAATGAGTATGCTGACTAACAACAACTTAGAACAAAACAAAGTCAGATAGTTTAGTGATAAAAACTAAGAGGTTAACACCTTGAAAGTACTAATTTTATAAATAATCAGGTGAGGCAAGAGTTGAAGACAAGAACAGGGCTTGAAAGGCCACTTTGAAAAAAGAAAAGACAAGGCAAGACAACAGAGCCTGCAGCAGGCAACTTGCCTGAAACCGTTTGCTTTCTCTAGAGAAACTACAGAACCAACAACATTGACTTCCACTGTTGAACAAAGTTTTCCCTCTCAGGTTTAATGGAAGGATTGCTACAAGAGCAAGGAGTGCATACCTCCACAAAAGCTTGGTGGTTTTGCAGAATAAAATATTTAGATTTCATCTGTGAAGTTTACTGCTTGAATTGGTGGTGTGCAATCAGGAAATTTCACAATAATTTATAAATTAAAAATATCAAATTAATTTGCAAAGGGGGTAAGATCAAATTACAGCTTAGAGCTTAATAAAGAAGGTTGGCTTGATTCTTTAGGTATAATGAGCGAGTCAATCCACTTTGTTGTGATGATGGATCTTAAATTGCGAGACTAATGAAGACCTCTGCTCACAAGGGCATTTCACAGAGATGGGTTATAAGTAAAATTTCATCAGTCTGGCATGCAAGGTGTGAGAAGAATGAACATAGAAACCGTTTTCTACTCTTTTTTTTTTTTGAGAGAGACTTATTTTTAGGCATCTGATGTTTGCCTGCATGATAACATAGACCTGACCATAGATCAGGTACACTCATCCGTCAGAGACTGAGGTAGTAAAGATGGCAAGAACACCCTCATGCAGTGAGACAAGCAGTAAGGAGTGCCCCAACATCTCTGTGGGGGTCTTTTTCATACATAACAGTCTCCTTTTTCAGAGCACTTCCTACCTCTACCTCATGAGTTTTGAATAGGAAAGGTGTCACTAGATAATATGATGTTCCCTTTTGTCATTCAGTTGTAGGTTGCAACATAAATATAGGTCTAGCAATAGCAGGATTATAGATTACATTTTATATCCCAGTACTCTAATCTCATGGGATAATTCAGATGTTTTACAAACACTCGTTATTGAGAAAGTTAGTGCCAGGGAACTATGCTCCACAAATCACAGCAGAGAGCCATTACTCTCCATAGCAAGCCTGTTGGACTGTGCCCTTGTATAATCCTTTTCAGGCACAGAGTGTATTTTCACTGTATTTAAGTGCTCTCATATTTTAGTAATAATGATTGCAAAGATAAATAATACAAATTGCAACATATCTGCCAAAAGGATGTACTTGGCCCAACTTTTTAGCCTTTACCCTACTAAACGTAGTACTTTTTCTTTTTTTCTTTTTTTGCATATAATAGGCATACTTCTTGTAATATATGTATGTGAACATAAAATCATAATTTTCACAAATATTTCTGGCAGATAACTGTAGTCTCTTTAAGGATGGAAATCTGATTTAATTTCACTCAAAATACTTGAAAAATAATTTTGCTTGTGAAGAAACAATCCTTTCTTCTATCTCCTAACCTGCTCTTCTTTCCATTTACTGCAAATATATAGCAATTGTTTAATTGGATGGACAAATGTACATGTGTGTATATTAAAACTTTAGCTTACAAGAAAGGATCAGTAGGCATCACCATCCACAGAGTATATTTTATCACCTTTAAAACATTGTAAATGTTTAAAATTACATACTTTATTAGTACCAGTCTCTATACATTTGACATAGAAAAAAAATTGTGACAATATTCATTAAAATATTTCCCATGTTTGATAAGAATTTAATTTCTCATTTAAAGATTTATTCTGAAAGCCACAAGAAGTGAAAGGAAGTTAGTTTAACTGTGCTGTCTAGGGTGAGGATGTATTATTGATTACTAATAGCTGCACCAATTACCATCACTGAAAATTGCTGGCCACAAAAACTTCCATATGACAAATATGTACAACTCTCCTTCTCTCTTTCTTTGCCAACAGAAAGAAGCTGAATTATGTGTCAGGGAGCACAGAATGCAGAAGCAGAGACCACTAATAACAGCCTTCAAGTCTGTTCTTTAGAAAATTGGGTAGCGGACAATGGGAAAGAGACAGGCAAATAAATGACCAGAAGGCAAAAGGGCAAGAAATTAACTGAAGAATAGGGGGCAACTGAATGTATGGATTGATGCCTGGATAATGATAAGAAAAACTCTAATGACACTTTAAAGGCATTTAAAAAACACTAGCTATAAGAGTAACTGCTTCATTGCTCTTACTGAATTTGTTTAGCTCCAGAATGGAGAGGGCTACTAAAGGCTGGCATTCATAAATGACATACAAAATATCTCTCTCTTCTGTACTGCTTGACTACATGCAGATTCAGATGACTTCGCACTGGTGGAGTACCTTCTTCTTGGGGGCTTTACATACCAGCCTTGTGCAAGCTTAAAAGAAAGTTGGCTCTTCAGAGGATGACTGACAGGGCTGCACAGCACTTCTACTACTCTTTAAGAAGAGGTGGTGGGTGAGGTGAAAACTTCCCACAGACTGGACCCAGCTAGCAGGCAGCCCAGATAGAGACATAGAAGAATGTCCATACATCAAGAATGACGTTCCTTCAACTTTAGAGGACTTCTTTTTATAGACTATGGATGCATACAGCTGAAGTAAGGAATAACAGCTTTCTACAGGCTGATGGTGCACAGAGGGTTATCAGCAGCTAAGGTAAATAAAACCTAGACACTTGTCATTGAGAAGTGCCTGCATTGTTCATTTTTTTCCAGAAGAAATACCAATTTGCCTTCTCTATATCTCTTCAACAGACTCCCTTACTCAGTGAATCATACATTTAAAAAGCCCAACATCAGCCAGCTGGAACTGACTGCATAGGGCAGGGATGCACGTTACAAAATACTGACTGCAAACATTAAATGAAGCAGATCGAGAAGTTACCATGGTTGGAAAAAGTGGAGGTGATGAAATTTTGCTAAATGTTAAACTCTTTGGAAAAGTGGAATATAACTGATGAATATTCATACAGCACTTCATTCTAAGTCTAAAAATGGATGCCAGCAAAAAGTCAATGTTTCATTCTGAAGTTACACCTTTTCATCAGCTAATCCTGGTTACACTACTGCTGTAAATAACAGTCCTCCCCATGGGACTTCACCTTGAACATCATGTCCTTTCACACCTGGATTGATACAAGTTTCCAGATGAGGAACTCAAGCTGATTTTAAACATAAGATTGAACAGCACAGTTCGGGATCATTGACTACCAATGAAAATCTACAAAGATATTCACTGTTGACCATGCTGTGCACGTTCAGATGAAGAAAAAAGCTGAGCCCAGAAAGCTAAGAGGAGGGTCTGTGAAAAACAACTGTAACCACTATTAAAATAAAAATCAAGCAAAGTGGGGGATTTCATGGAATTAATGAGTGTCAATTCTATTAAAAAGCAAAAGTCCAAAGACAGGAAAGGATGCTGTTCTGTACACACCAATCTGCAGAGCTTCCACCTACTGAACCTTCCTAATGAATTCAGCCTCTCATCTCCTCCGACATTTCACAGGTAGGAAACTGGGAACTAATGATCAGAGGAAATGGATCTCTCAGCCATACAATTTTCTATAGTTGAAACTTCTTGGATTAACATTTTATGTAGTGTTTGTCATATTCCCAACTTGTTATAATTCTGAGGATTTAAACTTCCTTCTAAAATTCCTAGATTGTTTAAAGCTCTGGTGCATGCTAACTTGCAATTATTATTTCCTTCTGGTTACCAGTCCCGGGGAAACTATGAATGGCTTTTACACACACGTCTTCACATTATGCACACTTTTACAGACACTTTGGGTTTTTTCCAGTCTGCCAAAGAGCTACTAGATAAGACTTAAGTTAAAACACGTAATAAAAGCTAGGTTACTTCAATCGCTTTTAAATCTTTTCTTTAAACAACATTTTAAATCGTCTCAGTGAACAAAAAATTACATTCTTTCCCATCTGCGAGTACAGTAGATAAAAAAATCATTGTTAGTTCAAGTGTATGTAAGCTTATGCACAGTACACTCCATTTGGATACAGCATATCTATCGGTACATAGATTGTGGAAATGAGTAACTTCATTCACCTCACAGCTGGAAAAAAGCATGAAAAATTAGATGAGAATCCTATTCCTAGCTGGAATTTGCAAGACATTTGAATGAACAACATTTTGCATTGGCCCGTGCAAAGAATTGCACTGTAACTGAAGCTTCTGAAGTGAAATATTTGGAGGCTGCATAGTAGAATACTTAAAAATGGAGACTGTACATTCTTCTTGAGAGAAGACATGCAACATGTGGACTGCAAAAAGCAAACACAGAAATGTCCAAGAGGAATAACATGCCTTCAAAAATAAAATTTTACCAATAATCCTCAGTAATTGTGATGGATTAAGATATGAATTATGGAAGTATATACATTTTTAAAGTTTCTTAATATATAAAAATTGAATGCCTTTTTGGTATCTTCAAATTTCTGGACTGAGTCACAGCTCAGTTAGAAGAAACAAGCCAAAAGCAATTTTTCCCGAGATGTGCACAGCATTATAACAGTCTCTTACCAGATACTCTCTTAAGTGTTACAAATATAATTTTAGCATACAAATATACACACGGTATAGAAAAGTATTTCCTTTTTATTATTCTACTGCAGTTCATCTTCTTGTAAAAGACTACTGGAGTATCCAAATTTCTGGTTTAGTTTTGGAATCATGAGATGGTACACGCTAGAAAGACCTTTGGAGGTCATCCAGTCCAAATCTCAGCTCAAACCCAGTCTAACTTCAAAGTTTTCAGCCCGAGGTCTTCTTCGCTAAGGTATTACTGAATAAAAAATAATCAAGAAATATAAATAAAAAGTTCAATTTTTTCATTCTGATGTGTATTATTTGCATTTATCGACAGTGAATTTCACCAGCTATAGTGTTCTCCATTCAGCAACCTCATGAGCTCTGGAGCTTATTATTGCTATGAGCAATACATACCAGAGAATCAAAAATTACAGCTACAGCTTCTTAAAAGAGTTCATCAGGTTGATCGCCAATGGTATGAATCGGTTTTAAAAATAATAGTTTTAACAGGATCCTCCCACCATGTCAAAGAAGCCTGAAGTGGTTAGGAAAAATATTAATATTAAATACAATGTGACAGCTGTTGGCCTAACACAGGAAACACATAACTGCAGAAGGAACTGCAACTTTTGTCTGTGGTGCAGAATTCTTCCTACTAGGAACTAAGCATAGCTGACAGAAAAACTACTGCTGCTAAACACTCCAGAAAAAATCATGAGAAAATGAAAGGGGAAGTAAATAAATATAAAAAGACAAGACTAGATTCAAAGTTGGAGACTTACTGAACCGCAAGAACACTTAAAACAGGAAAAGGTTCTTTGAAATACTGTCAGGCAAGGAACAGAGATGCATTAGCGCTCTTGTCTGAGGAACACATTAAAACAATAAAAGATTCCATGAGTTTCAGGGGTGACTGCTGTGTATTAAAAATATATTTTTATTTAAATCATGAAAAGGCTATTTTTGTCCAAAAAGTAACTATTTTCACTTAATAAACATACAGCAGTATAGATGTGTGAAATAAAACCCATTATTCTTCAGTAAAGCTATCTTCTAATGTAGAGACAAGATTCACTAGGGAGATGCGCTATGATTTGCATGGGCAACTCCAGGGTCACAAGGCTAAGGCTGTACCGTATGGAGCCAAAATACATGCTCTAGCAGCTGATGGGATTTTTGGGTTGGGGGGCAGAGGGGACCAGAAGAGGAAGAGAGATGGTAAAAGCTATCTTTGTTTACCCATTAAACCTGCATCTCCTTCTGAACAAGAAGAGCTGGTACTACGATAGCAGAAGAAATAACAGGAATTTTCTGAAATAAAGAATGAAACTCTGAGACATGATTATCTCACAGATTTCCAAGATTTCCTGTAGAAGTAAATCTTGCCCATTCTCTTAAACTGATACTTTAAGAGAAAAGAATGAGAATAATTGCCACATTACAAATTTGTTCAGTCTTCATTCATTGCTTGGTATCTTAAGTTGTGAGATTTCAGGTCTAAATATTACCAACAAAATAAGTCTTAAGGCATGTCAAAGCCTTTAAATCCAATTAGTACCATACCTTTCGAACCATTTGAAGCATTCTTTGCTAAGTCAGGGTAATTAGCTTGCAGTAGATAAACTTTTTCCACCCACCATCTCCCAAGATACCACAAGGTATGTTTGTTTCAAGAGTGCTTTGCATTGCAGTTGCTCCATTAAATGAATACTTCATAAACAACAAATAATCTCTCTCAAAAGTTTAATAGCTACTTGGTGGTAGACAATGATCTTCAATTCAATCATTAACTCATAAGACATTTGTCAGTAAAAGGCTGTAATCAAAGTTTCCACTTCTAATGTTTATGTGTGCACAAACGTGTATATGTGTTTGTCTTTCAAAATCAAAGGAGATTTGATGTCATTTTTATGATACCATTAATGACAAAACACAAGCACAGACGAGCATGAGGTTCCAAATACTTTTGTGTAAGTTATTCCTATATTCCAATAGGTCATTACTCACATAAACAGTTGGCATACATACAAAATCACAATAAATTATTTTTTACTAATCTATTGGTGATAACATGCCTAGATGGCTTTGAGGAAATTCAGTCATTTCTGATAAACAGCCTTATGTACTACCACTGAAACTACGGTATATTCTTCAGTAGGTTTGTAGGAAAATTAGTGATAATCCCTAATGAAGAAGTATCTTTAATACTTGAACTAGGAATGAAATCAATAAAAATAAAATAAATTAACAAAATGAAATAGATAAACAAAACCTAATAAAACTAGTGGTCTCAAGATATTAGAGAAGAATGCATATTAATCAAGCAGTACTTACAAGAAGCCTTTTCCTGATGGCTTCTAGCTGTTTTGTAGCTGCTGCTAATTCAGCATTTGCCTGGGCCAACGCACAACATTTTGGCTCTGCTTCACAATACACCTTGAAAAAGGCATACAACTTATGTACACTAACCAAGATGTTAGTCTCACATACATTATAAAAATTGCAAATGACTCCTGATAAAAGACTTTCAGATAATCCTTATAGTGTCTTATATATTTGCTTTAGAAACAACTTTCCACACAACAGTGAGAAATGCAGAGATTTCTTTCAATTTTGACCTAAAAGACTACAGGAGATTTGATTATAGCCTATATAAGGATATCTTAAGCAGAACTGAATGCATACTCAGTGACTTTACTCTCCAACTAAAATTAATTTATATGGATCACTTTCATGGTTTTAGAATACAGGTGGAAATCAGACAAGCATTATGCTTGAGTAGCTTTCAACTAAAATTGATTGGTTTTCTTACTATTTTGTAATTAATTGATAACCTGCTATCATACTAGGATGAATGGAGGAATCCTGCTGCCAGGTGCTCAAGGGAATCACAAGTGATAAACTCTGTCTTACACTCCGGGCAGCCGGACTCAGATGGACGTTTTGAGTGAAACGTGTACATCTGAAGGAAATTTCCCAACTGTTGCATCATAATGACAATTGAAAAGTCTTGGACCGCCACATCTCTTTTACCACTTTCTACTAAAAATAAATACATGCACACATACTGTTAAGTACTGAATACTTCCCACTTTATCTGTGGTTGCTGTTACATTTTCCCCAGTATGCTAAGCTGAGTTTACCAAAATAATACAGACCTTCCACAACAGAAATTCCCCCCATCAGGGCTATGAACTGATATACATATACCTCATTGAATTTCACTATATTGATGGCCCAGGCACAGAGACCAGCTGCTGCAAAGGATTTTGTATGAACATAATTTGGGTTGAAATCTGGATCCTTCAAGTAATGTTCCTTGACAACTTTCAGACAATTCTGAGGAATATGCTCCTTATCATAGTTGATTAAATCTTGTAAGAAGACATCAACCTGCAAGAAGAGAAGTTTCAGTGTATCAGTCCTTTTCCCCTGCAGAGAATCAGAAGCTAACTCCTACTTTCATCACAAATGCAAAACTAGAATCCTGCACGAGCTGATTATTTTGGAAACATTATACAGTACAAGGAAAAAATATTATTTCCCCCCAAAATGTGAAGTATTCACCCTCACAAACACATCCGGTGATTTTATGATTAATTTGAGGAATTTGGCAGAGATGAGACAAATATCATGAAATGCTCTCCCTTTGATTTTTCTTCTGTTTTTGCAATTAATAAATCCCAGTGGCGCTCGGGCTGGCTTGAATTTGTCAACAAAGGTACACAGAAAACAACAATGCAAGGTCGTATCTTATCCCCGTAAATTCAAACTGTAAAAAAATGAGGTTGTGATTTAGTTTCTCTTTCTCTGGCGCTCATTTTTAGTTGCTCTTTTCCTTTCTCATCTCAGACAGTATATGATGTCCCACTGATCATTACCCTCCCCATAAAGACTTTTGCAGCTTTCGAGCTTCGGTCTTTGGGCACTTTCCCTTTATATGCCAGCAAAACCACTACTGCAGCAACGACATTAATTACAGCCATTGGTGGGTTCATGAAGGCTTTCAGTTCTGTAAGCTTAACCTGAAAAAAGAAGATCAGATGAACAGGTACAGAATTGTGCGACAGTGGATTTGTTCCACAGAAGCTTTCAGATTAACAGTGTACAACTCTCAGCTCTTTGAAGACTATTACTAATTATTTTATGTGGTGAAAACTCGCATGACTACAGCCCTTCCCTTGCCCTGCTATCCTGTGTACAACTTGGCCAAGTAGGGGTATGGGAAGTGTAATACCAGGTCAGGTACAGCAGTTGCCAGTCCGTCGCTTTAGAGGATGCTGCCCAGAGAGGATCAAAATTTGATTGTGTTTGTGTTGTAGTTTAAATCGGGTAACTAAGCACTAGACAGGTGCCCACTCACCTCTCCCCTTTCCCCCCCAGGGGAATGGGGAGGAGAAATGGACAAAAGGGTAGAACTCGAGACTTGACATAAAGACAGTTTAATAAGACAACAATGTAAATACTAATACTACTACTACTAACAAGGACAATAATAATGATAATATTGAGCATGCAAAACAAGCTAAGTACAATACAGTTTTTCTCAGCACCTGATGACTGATTCGCAGTCAGTCCCTGAGCAGCGATCGAACCCTGGAAATCATGAATTTTGCAAAATTCCCCCCAAAAGTTCGAACTCCCAGACAGGAGACGATAAGAACACACAGAAGTAAGAAGAGCAGATAGCTTCCTGCCCCCTTTAGCTAACCTCCACTTATAAACTGAACATGACGTCTATGGTATGGAATATTTCCACTGGACAGCTTGGCTCTCTGTCTGGCCATGCTCCCTCACAGCTCCTGCACACCTGCTCATTAGCTGGATATGAGAAACTGGAAAAAAATCCTCGATTTCGTAACAACAACTGAAAATATCAGTGTTATCTGGTTCTTCTCGTACTAAATCCAAAACACAGCAGCTACTGAGAGGAAAATTAATGCTATCCCAGCCGAAACTAGAACAGCTTTGCAGCTTGGCACAGGAATGACCATTTAATAGCCTTCAACTATCTGAACAATGAACAATATTTTTTGCAGACATGAAACTGTGTGATTTTTACCTTATTAAACGTGTCTAAGGCTGCTGTAGCAGCAACAAGAGCGGGTTCAGCTTTCAGCAGGTTGTTCTCACATTCTTTCTGTCTCAGATATACTTCTCTTTGGATTGTTGCTACCTATTAAAACAATGAATCTTAAGAGTTATATTGAAAACTAAGGCTGTAAATCGAATTAGAGATGCTTAAGCACTCACACTTGCCATGTTATATCTGTATACACAAACAGATTTTGAAACCGACTACTTCGTGTTACGCATAAAAAAAGACCTCTGCAACTCTGACACTCAAGTAGGTTTGTGCTCAGCTCTAGACTCCATCAGTTCTGCATGGTGAGAATTAACATCTTCTGTTAATAACCATAACACAGAAGTCAGCCTCATGTCTGTGCCTGTAAAGATCATGGAACAGATCCTCCTAGAAGCTATGCTAAGGCACATGGAGGACAGGGAGGTGATTCAAGACAGCCAGCATGGCTTTACCAAGGGCAAGTCCTGCCTGACCATCCTAATGGCCTTCTATGATGGAGTGACTACATCAGTGGACAAGGGAACAGCTACAGATGTGATCTATCTGGACTTCTGTAAGGCCTTTGACACGGTGCCCCACAACATTCTTGTCTCTAAATTGGAGAGATACGGATTTGATTGGTGGACTACTCAGTGGATGAAGTATTCATTCTATTGTCGCATCCAGACGGTAGTGGTCAATGGCCCAATGTCCAGATGGAGATCAGTGATGAGTGCTGTCCCTCTGGTGTCTGTATTGGGACCAGTACTGTTAATATGTTCATCAATGGCACAGACAGCGTGATCGAGAGCACCCTTGACAAGTTTTCAGATGACACCAAGCTGAGTGGTGCGGTTGACACACCTGAAGGATGGGATGCCATCCAGAGGGACCTGGACAAGCTCAAGAAATAGGTGCATGTGATCCTCATGAAGTTCAACGAGGCCAAGTGCACAGTCCTGCACATGGATTGGGGCAACCCCTGATATCAATACAGGGTGGGGGATGAAGGGACTGAAAGCAGTCCTGCCGAGAATGACTTGGGGGTACTGGTGGATGAAAAGCTGGACATAACCCAGCAATGTGCTTGCAGCCCACAAAGCCAACCATATCCTGGGCTGCATAAAAAGCAGTGTGGCCAGCAGGTCGAAGGAGGTGGTTCTGCCCCTCTGCTCCACTCTGGTGAGACCCCACCTGGAGTCCTGCGTGCAGCTCTGGACACCTCAGCACAGGGAAGACATGGAGCTGTTGGAGGGGGTCCAGAGGAGGGCCACAAAAATGATCAGAGGGCTGTTACACCTCTCCTGTGAGGAAAGGCTGAGACAGTTGGGGCTGTTCAGCCTGGAGAAGAGACGGCTCTGGGGAGATCTTACTGTGGCCTTTCAGTACTTAAATGGGGCTTAATAAGAAAGATGGGGATAGACTTTTTAGCAGGGCCTGTTGTGATAGGACAAAGGGTAACGGTTTTAAACGAAGGGTAGATTCAGACTAGACATCAGGAATAAACTTCTTACAATGAGGGTGGTGAAACACTGAAACAGGCTGCCCAGAGAGGTGGTAGATGCCCCATCCCTGGAAACATTCAACATCAAGTTGGATGGGGCTCTGAGCAACCTGACCTAGATGAAGATGTCCCTGCTCATTGCAGGGGAGTTAGACTAGATGACCTTGAAAGGTCCTTTCCAACCCAAGCTGTTCTATGATTCTATGACTCTAAGAGCTGGTGGGCCAGACCCTCAATGACAGCTGAGTTTTGTAGTACCAGGACTTCCATAAAGCAGCCACTGCTGGCTCTGGTAAAGCTCCTATATGCTCTGTGTTAGCTACCAACATGCAGCTGCTCAGGAGTGAAGCCTTGTACATAGTGAGGATAATGTGATAAAGAGCCAGGGACAGAGGGATGCACTGGTAAATCAGCTACCTACAATCATTAGAAGTTAACAGGCTTCTCAGTGACTTATGAACCCATATTATATCTGCTATTTCCACTAAAGCAGTAGTTTAACCTCCGGGTAGCTAGATCACATTTATTCTCATTGCTCCAGAGAGAAAATTTGGTACACAAAGTTCCTTTCTTCCCTGCTGCTCTGAATCGTGAAGCACCCCTGTATGTTGCTCTGCCCTTTTCAGGACAATAGCATGAAATAGGAGGTGGAAACCTGCTGACTACCGCCTTTGTGGAAAACACACACTGAGATTAAGAGAGATGAACAGGAAACAAAATAGCTTTGGAATGGCATACCAGAAACTAGTTTTGTTTATACTAATGGATGAATGTCTGTATCATCACAAAGAATATTTATCTGGGCTGTTATAACAACCGGATATTCTCCATCATCCTCCGCTGCTCAGTTTTACAAACTGAAAAGTAAGAACCAGGTACTGATGCTTTATCTGCTAAAAATGGTTTATACTTTAAATATTTGCTTTTCAAATTCTCCTCTTCACAGGCTGCTCTGATTCTGGCCTCAACAACTTTGCTTTATTCTTATTATCATGTTAAATATACACGCAGTTAACTTGATGAAAAAAATGTTTTACCTTTGGCTTACTAAAGAAAAAATGGCACTTCCGCACAATTTTGGTCGCACTCACCAGGTTGAAGGTGAAATGAAGATGGGTCTCTCAAAGACCAGTTCAGCATTTGTAAGACTAAACCTCTTCGGTTAATTAACTAACTATTGCTTAGCACAGCCTCCTCTCCTTCAGGGTAACAAAGGACAACACGCTACCACCACAATGTTGTGAGAGGACTACGCCACAGCTTTACACAATTCCTGTTCATTTCTGAGAGATTACATTAAAACGCATGTTTTTCAAATGGGTACTGCATTAACAGATTTTGTGTGATGCCCAATTTCTTTCTTGCAGAGGATACTACAACACAAAATACTTCAAGTAATGCTTTCTTTGTCATCGTGACATCCAAGGACTTAAAAGAGCAGTACATCTGTACGAAGGGTAATATACATTTACGAGTTTTTTTCTAGATAAGTTTTTAATATCTCTTGCAGAAAAACTGATGATATGAAGAATGTCCTTCTAGTAGACGTACTTATCTACCAGCTTGTGATCAAGCATGTCAGTACAGATGTGAAATATCACCTGTCTCTATGGATGCTTTGGAAAAAAGGAGCCTGCAAGCTTGTGAAGACAGATCAGATAGTGAATGCCTCTAGTCGCCAAAAGGAACCTGGAGATCACTGTGTAAGATACAAAAATTCAGAAGGACTCCTGTTTAGCACTCCATATAATACAGTAGGATTCAAAGGAGACAGATTTAGTAATGCAGGATAGGAGACCAGGTAAGGTATCTGAACAAAAAAGCTGGGGAATATTAAGGCAGTCAGTTACTTCTGTGGCGTTATCAAACTCAGGGGACAACTCAATAGCTTATGCCATTTCAGTAGGTAAGCTGCACGCATTTAATGATCTGTGTTCAAATGCAGAAGCTGGAGCTAAACAAAAGATGTATGGGAGACAGAAAGTGAAGATTTTTGATTAAGATTTTGAGACTCATGACCTTTTTCCCCCTCACTCCCCCATTTTTCCCCTTGAAAGGGCTCACTTTTAGAAAATACCAGAGAGCCAATGGTCAGTTCCAGTGATGCACTAGGGGTTTCCCTAACCAGTAGAACTTTCACTGCATCTTTGGGGTACAGGTAAATAAATCAGATTTATCAAACCAGCTTCCATCTTTTGGTACATTTGCCTTTTTCTTTTAATTCCTCAGTTTCAAGTCTGAAATCACAGTCTTCGACAAGGGAGAGAATACCAGAAAAGGAAATATCCTATATGAAACACTGTATGTACTTAATTTCAGGTTTGAAAATCAAACAGATATCATTCTAAGCAGATTTGTCAAAACTCTTGTTTTGGCTTAACAGTGGCTTAGATCAGTGACTTTACATCAGCTGGCATCAATTTAAAGTGAAATCTGAGCGTTTCCACAACTTTCTGCAATGATTTAATTATCTGTTTAAAAGCTGATTATGATTTCATTGGTGCACATTTATCTGGTAGAGTAACCCTGGAGGGTGCTCTGTATCATCCGCAATTGTGTATTTAGAAGATTATCATATAGATTTTTAAGGACACATTGCCTGGGGCTGAAGTCATCTATATTTGGTTCATCTTTCTTCTTCATACCTCATGCTCATCTCACAGGCTCATTTCCTGTCAGGTTTTGCTTAAACCAAGTCTAATTACAGAGAAAGAGATCACTATTACAGTGATCAAGATGTTAATACTTGGATCAAGCACTGTGCATTGGCAGTAACAAGACTATGTAAGAATTTAATATCCTTACAAAACGTGTTTCTGCAATTGTCAGGGCCACTTTCCATGCCTACATTTATTACATAGGATACACAGAGACACTGTCCGTAGAAATAACAAAGATTAAAAATCAATATGCATTACATTACAAATGACAAGTTACTAATAAAGTTAAATATTTCCCCCATCTCTTGTGAAAGAGAAGTGCAGAACAGAACTGATGTAGCTTTTCGGATTAAATTCCCAGTGCTTATTGGTTTGCATCTTAACCACAAAAGATTTTTTAAATTAAATATTGCATATACAATTGCAGTTTTGGTTTGGTTTATATCTTCTCTAACATGTTTTGAGACTCATGTTACTGAAATTAAAGCAAAAAAAGTTAGAACAGCCAGATGCTCCTCCAGTTAAAGTTTTTAAGGATGTAACCAGGTGAACAAGTATGACATTTACAGTAAACAGTGCTTCTAACGTGACACAGTATTTTCCATTAAAACAAACAGCTAATTTAAGTCTCACAAGTTGCATCACAGTTCTCTCTTTCTTTCTTATGCTTAGTTATTCTTTGTTTGCTGATGCCCAAAGAACATATGGGACAAGATAATTTTTTTAAGGGAGGAAAAATTAAACCGAGCAGGTTGCAGATGAGCCTTTGGACTATTTCTCAAATGTAATTTGCTGCACAAAAGACATGAAGGAGCTTTTCATCCCTGTCTGCAGAAGTTTAGTCCCCTTCACGTCAATAGCTTCTACAGTATAGAGCTCTTCAATGATGGCTACATTGTTAGAAAAGCTGGAAGCACTGTGCCCTTAGCAATCAGACCATGAGTAGAGTGACTCAAATATACCATGTAAATAAAGAGTGCACTTCAGCTGAGCGAGGTGAATCACAAAAGCTGTTCAGCCTGGATCCATCTTTGCTCCTAATCCTCAGCTAGCATCACTATCATCCATATACCTGCACCACGCTCTGCATGTTTTCTACCTTTGAACTGGTAGGTCCCATTTTAAAAGGCAATGGCATCTGCCTCTTCATCTGTAAACCACTCTGACTGGCATCATTCACAGCACATGAACGGCCAGTAAAATGACAGCCGTGTTACTGCTTGCTATTTCAAAACCTTATCAGTGCCACCTTCGTAGTCAGACCCTTGTTGATTACTGCACAGATGTGTAGTTCTGCCACATTTATGGGGCATCCAGACTGACCCCACTTTTCCTGATGAGTCTGACCTAAAATGACTTCCACTCTTCAACTTTTCTTAAGTAATGCTTCATTCTAAGGCAATACCTCAAAGGTCGTAACTGGCATAATGTTGTAAAACTAAAAAAAAACCCCTTATAAATGCCAGTTCGAAATCTATAGAACAAGAAAGTCGAAATAATTTTTTAAAGGGTGACAAATTTTCATCAATTATGAAGAGTATTCACAAATTACTTAGCTGGAAGATGTATTGTCATTTGCTGATAATTTTTTTTTCTGTAACAAAAATTATAGAAGATTAGTATTTAGAAAACATAACAACCTTATGAAATAGTTTTAAATTAATGTAGCACAAAATGACACTTTCATTTCCATTGATAACATTTTGGAAGTGCAATAAAGCAATGAACAGGGGAGTATGGTAATCATCAGCATCATGTGCTAACTTCATCCCTGAAATAAAGTGGCCCAAAGATGTGATTATCCCACAATAATCACTCTCTCTGTTTCACCTAGTTGCTTAGTGAATTAATTAGAATTGTGTTAAGGGTGTATTTTGATCATCCAAATCCATCAGAAGCATATAGAACCAACACATGAAAAGCACCACTGAAAAGTGGTTGGTAGGATGTTGAGCTATTGGACCCAACTTGTTGTGCAAGGTTAATTAATTGCACTATTTCAACTTCAAACTTCATAGCAGTCTTTAAGTCCTATATAAGATATGGATCAGCAAAAGGCTGAAGTCCGTAATTGGCATAATCCAGAGAAATATAAAGGTCTTCATTTATATCAGTGTCAAAAATCACTTTTCCCTTAATAAAATTAGGATGAGACACCAGGTCATTAGAAAACTATTAAACACCACCTAATAATAACGTCTTTAACAAACAAAACAGAAGAGAATGAAAGATCATTTTGATTGCTCAGACAGTACAGTCTTCCCTGCTGATCAGGATCTGAAATCTCTTTACAAAGATCTTGGCAACTTCATGTTTTCACAGCTCAAAATCAGGCATTAACAACTACTATGAATAAATTAAAAATTCCTCTCTGCTGTATTGCTAAATGACACAATGTATGTCAGATTTCACAGCAAAATGCTAGGACTGAATGAGCCCTTCGGACTTTAAAGGCAGAAGAACTTCTGTTTACAGCATTCCATACTGCTGGTGTTTTATTTCAAAAATTGTACTTGTAATAGTAGATGAAAATTTTAGAGCCCAGATGAAATTACACATTTTGTGTACGCTTATTCTGTGGTGAGGACTAACACATGTAAACCTCTATGCTTCCAGTATGGATGTTATTAACTAATTGTTAATAGGCTGAACTGAGAGCAAAAAGAAGAAGATTCAACACTTGACACATATTATTAGGAATGCTATTATAATCTTAAAATTCAAGGTTTGCACCTTGTAATGTTACGAGATACTGGAATGAATTTCTGGATCAATTGAGTTGTTCAATTTACCTAGAGCCTCAAAGCCTTTAGAAATCTGAAGTGCTCAGAGATGACTCTCTGACCTTTACTGTATTACAAATAGGTCTGATTCTCAAGATCCACATCCATTAAATGCTTGAATGAGCTCAGTATTTATTGTTCTTTCATCTCATTAAAACAGCTAAAAGGTTGGGAAAAGGCATAATGTAAAGAAAGGTCAAGTGGTAATCATGGTGTGAAATGCTGTTACATATGTAAGTATAATAATTCCTTAGACTTATGCTCCCTGGAGAGGAAGTTGTTCAAAACTGCTCACCTAAAAAGGTTTATTTTGTGCTACATATAGCTCAACAGCACTAAATGGGGAAATTAGACTGACCTTTTGCTCCTCTGCGCCTGCAATGGCCTTTTCTTGGCTCACTTTCTCAGTCTGAAACCCTATCTTAGCAATCAAAGCTTCAGCATCTGGATTTCTCAGTTGCACTTCTGCCTCTTGAGAAGCAAGTTTGGATTTTAGATTTTCTGCCTACAGGGCAAAAGGTAACATGTTATTTGGGAGCAAGGGTCATTAGGTATGGGTCTGGAAAGATGATACCACATGAGCCCCAAAAAGCTGAACTGAAAACAACATTCATGTTTTGTGGGTCTCAGTACTGGAAGTGTTGTCTTTTCCTTCCCCATTTTATTTCCATTTGACAGCTCCTTGTTTGTAGCTCACAGAATTTTGTTGACATAAAAAATTTAATAAGAACAACCTAACTGCTCCCACCAGGGACCCCGCAGCTCCCCTGAGACGCTCAGATGTCTGTCCAGCTGCTGAGGTTGTGTTTGTAACCAGGTGTCTCAGTGCTGCAACAAGGCCCTGCTGCAGCACCTAGCAAAGATGCAAGTGTAAAAGCAAGAGGGCATTATGGAAAAATGCCTAGTAATCACTCTGAGCAGATAACTCCAGCAGAGGTTTGCTGAAAGGTTAAGACTGATGACCAAAGACTACCTGTTAGTTTGCTGAAATAGCAATTTATTGCCTGCCAGGCGAGAAACCCGTATCAAAACACCCAGAGACAGTATCTTTCCACACACAAAGGAATTGCTTCAAATACCTGTTTGAGTTCCCCTCTCCCCCATCCCTCCAAGCATTTTATCTGATGGTGATTCATGATAAAAGGCTATTATTTAACCAGAGGGGACTCTTGTTAACCTGATCTGGATAGGGTGATAATAAAAAGAGGAAGACAAATATCAGAGCACTTAAACTTTCATCACATGGAAAGTCTTGAGGGCTCTTCTTCGGTGGACTCCTGAAATCTTACAAAATCTACAAAATCTACCTTTGCAAAATTTGACCCTTTTGAAATGAGAAGACAAAGCTGTAATACTGAGTTGTAACAGATGACCGTAAAGATCCCAAATCTCTCCACTCACTGTATTTTTCAATTTATTTGAGCTGACTTTATGTCTTATTCTTTCTGAAAACCTAAAGGGTGCTGCAATTGATACTCTTGTGTAGAGGTCCGGAGTGCAGGATAAAAATGGCTGAGTGTTCAAGGACCTGGCTAGGCAGGAGCTGCAGCTCCGTTTGCTAGCGCAGCATGTGGCACTTGAAATTGTCAAATTACCTTTTGGTCATTGTCAAATTAGAATTCGGGGAAAAAGAGCACTTCAACCATTTACTAGCATGGGATACCTTGTTTAAAATAGACTTTAAAAGAGAAGTCACCCCTTTTCTGCTGACCATTTATTTTCACAGGTCTTCAGCTGAAAAAGTGGGAATAAGTCAGCCAGCTCCCATTATTAATCTCACGCAGTAGCACAAAGATGAAACGTTGTGCAAAGACTGCAACTGAGCATTTCATTTGCAGTTTTTTACAACAGCATGCAGACTTTTTATTTTTACTAAAGAAATCACTGGATTATGGCTTGTGTTCAGCCTTTGTACAAGGGATTACGGAATACAGGATGGGGCCAGGGCAGGGGGGGAAAGGGTTCAACACAGTTTCCCCTCCCTTCTGTCTTTGTGGGCTGACCAGCCACCAATGAACTGCAGGCAGAAGCACTGAGGGGCTAAGTGGCACTACCCCCAACAAGGAGGTGACGACAGCTGATGCAAAAGCTCCACACTTGTTCCTCCTGCTTTCACCACCCTTCAGCTGGTCACCAGTCACGCACAAAGTCCCCATGTACAGAACCGCATCTTCTGGTTTCATTTTGCTTTGGCACTTGCTTCCCCTCCCACCCTTTTACTGAGGCCTCACTACACTCCCCTTCCCTCCAGACTTTGTCCTTGCTCAGATGGGTGGACCCTTCTTTCTAAAGACAGCTGAAGAGCTCAAAGAGCTTCTATGTGAAGAAAAAAATCAAACTCCAGTTTACAAAATCAGGTAATTTCAATGAACCATAAAAATGCCACCCCACAACTAATCAGTCTAACAAAAAGGTACTGGAACAACTTTGCTTTATGTGCCAGAAACCCAAGATTATATATAAAAAAAAATGAAAGAAAAGGTTGTGACTTTCACAGTTTACCTGGAAAGCTGCTGCCTTCAGCTTCTGCATGCTGTTCATCAAGTGCTCCATGTGTCCTGACATCTCCTTGCTTTTCTTCTCTAGGAGGATCTTATAAAGTATGATTTACTCCAGGAAACTTTTCGGAGTGGTGTAATTGTATTGCCTCTCATTACGACAGTATTTGGCACTCCGCATATTCACACTGGTGTGGGCATAAGCCATGAAATCGCAAATGGATTCCTGGATGAGTGGCTGAACATACCCAAGGAACAAGAACAAATGTAAACACAGGAGCAAAGAAATGCTTCAAAAATTAAGCACCTCTATGTAAGTCAGAAAAGGTTGCATTTCTAAGGATGGCTTGTTCACAAAACTATTCTTCAGTCTACCCTAAACACAATTTTGTCAGCATGTAAAAAACATTAAAGCAAAATGAGCCTTCTAAACTTTTTTGCATATAAATTAATTAATTCTGCACTGGCAGTCCTTAAAGTTTTCATCACCATGGAAGCTTAGTGCTTCAACATACTTTCATTTTTTTTAATAAATTCACCTAAAAACTGAGATTAAATTAGTCACTATACTGCTATATGCAGAGTTAACACTATGCGGATTTTCTATTTAACCTCTGGAAATTCTGTTTAAGAAAAATCCTGTATAGGTTAAAGAAACACAATAGAGTGGTTTCTCTAATCACACGGATCCCCACATACCTCATATATCATCAAATGCCTATTCGGAGTGAAGTACATTTATGCCATTAACTTCAGATTGAGCAGAACTGGACTCCACGATTTAGATTTCTGAAGTTGTACAACTCCCTGCTTATCTGTGCTTGTCAAAGTCAGTGATAAACTAACATAAACTGGTACAAGAGCCGGATTAGAGCACTGTGGAGTGCTTCTGAAAGCCAAGTCTCTACATACCGTAAAATGTCAGAAAATCAGCAACATTTCTGTGCTGAAGAGACCTATCAGCTTCAAGGGGTATTTGACCAGAAAAGTAGTTGTGGCTTAATGGAGTTCAGAGTTACCCCGAGCTGTGACAGCTGACACTGCTCCCTTCCCTGCATGCCACCCAGGTATCAGACCAGAAAAGCATGCCTTCAGCTCTAAGCACAACTCAGCACGCTGCAGAAGGGACCCCAGAGCGGTCCTCTGGCCCCAGGGGGCTGTGCTGGGTGCCACACAGCACTGCACGGGCTTCCACCTTCATCACAGGGAGGGAAATGCAGCCGTGAGACTGGAAAACTCTTTTCATATACTGTATAACAACCAAAATAGACTAGGCATATTTAAAACAGCTTCAGATGATCATTTTGTCATGTATTTCTGAGCAAAATGCAGAGGTAAAATGCCTGTCTTTATTCACCTCTCACAGCAAGAAGGGAGGTAGTTTTAGGACAACAGCTGAAAGGTCTTTTTCCTAAATTTTTTGAAAATAAACTATCAAATACAAGACACTACTACACTACTTTGCATTAGAGTATACTTCCTCAGGATAAAGGTGAAAGAAGAAACTCCTAAATTCAGTTTCTGTTTATTGTGAAGGACCTGTATTACTAGAATATATGCACATGTGCACATGTAAGCAAGAGTACTGTATGCAAAATAAACAGGGAAACACTAAGAAAACCCATTTAGCTCCATCACTGTAACTAACTTCCATTTTGTCCTCTTTGACTTCTAGCATACTTAACTTTATAATTTGTGGAGTCACATCTCCCTCATTTTAATGATTATTTATTGCATTCTGTACAAGACGAACCCAGTTCAATTAATCAAGGGAAGCCTAAAAATCAATTAATATGAATTAAATGAGCTACACCAACTCTTACGAAAGTCACACATAATTTACCAAAGCATTGTCAATAATGCTTAGGGAACTTTGGGAAAATTGCTCACGAGTGGCTGTTGATGCAGTTAAATGTTTTAAGCCTACATCATTAATATTACAATCAGGTTGATGAAAAAAGACTTGCCATTTTTCTCAGTGAGAAACCTCATTATTTTCTTGTGACTTTTAAAAGCTGGTTTAGAAGAATACTTATTTCACCTACGATTACAAAAACAGAAATTAAAACAAGGACTAAATAAAGAATGATCTGCATTTAGGGAAAGCAGAAATAAATTGCTTTCCAAATGAAAAAAAACTGAACATCATTAGTTGAGGCAAAGCTACCATAAATTCATCTTAAAAAAAAATTGTTTGTGAAAGCAAGGCTAGTCAGAAGGAATGGACATTTTATGCAGATTTGAGCACTGCTTGGCTTCCAACTGAAATGTGTTTCAGCTTTTTTTCTCCTTTTTTCATTGTCTGTGACACACATGCACCCTGCAGTACAGCTCTTCCTAGCAAAAGACAACCTCCTTACGCATGATCCTTATGAGAGGTCTCTACTCAGCAGCCCTGAAAAGCCCTCTAACAACAGTTTCATTTGTAAATCAGCGAGGGAAGAAGTGGGTTCCGGTAGAGCTGGAAGTGGCCCGAGACAACTTGTCTCAATGGGGCAAAATAACTATTGTTATCGAGCTTAACAAAATGGCACAGCATGGGAGACACGCCGAGCCAGAGAGCAGCTGGTTGTAATTCACACTGGTTTTCAGAAAACACTAATCGTTCCCGAACAGACCTCTTTGAGGATTGGTCTTCCCCGCATTTTCAATTTGTCACTTTCTCTTATGATAAGGTCAGTGGTGACAGCACTTCCTGACATTAACAGCTGTGGCTTTTAAAAGGGTCATTGTGGAACTACTAATTGCAGTAATTTCATTAGCATAAATTATTTATTCTGCCATTCATTTATCTCCAGGTTTTTGTTTTTTTTTTAATACTACATTGTACTTTTCAGTATATGCCCATTCAGGGTTGTAGGCAAAGGAAATTATTATTGCTAATTTAACCTTCTTTAAAAAAAAGAAAAAGCAAACAAAAAAGAGTTGATACGGTAACAAAATCTGATTTAACCAGAGTTCACTAGAAAGCATAAAGTAGGTTGAAGCCAGTAATGAAGATTAGGCTGCTACGATTCAAACCCATTCAATAGTCTTAAAGACATCTGAGCAATAAGTCTATATGCAAGCTGAAAGCAAATGTAAGGCTGAAGTCTGTTCATTCTTATCCAGTCTCTATTCTAGGCCTTGGCTGACTGACTTTTAAGCATGCACAAAAAATCCCAAAGTGAGTTATGAGTAAATTATGTAAATTAGTCATTACCAAATTGATAAATCTTAGACCTTTGCAGTTAAGTTGAGCTAGCTGAAACACACCAAGCAAAGAGCAAGAAAGACCAATGCCACTGAACTTGAATGCATCCTGCAGGCAGTTATAAAAAGTAAGAGGAAAAAGAAGAAAGCGAAAAAAGAAAAAAATTACTTCAGGCTTCTTCTTTGCCGTACCACATGTTGCAAAATACTATGGAGTATGAGAAACTGAAAGCCTAAAGAATTTCTTCTTGGTATGCTTAATAGTGTGCGCCATTTGGTGCTAAGCAGCGGAGGAGCAGCATGCAAGGCAGCAACAGCAAAATACTCAAAGGACGTGGCAGAGGTGTATGTTGCTGTTATTTTCAAAGGGATGGATTAAACAATCCTGACTCTTTTATTCTGTACTCAGTGCTGATATGTGAAACCAGCTGAAAGTAAGAAAGAGAGATTGAGTCACTTTAAATTTGGAGACAGACGTTATTTCAAAATACCATAGGTCATATTTTATACCAAACGAGGCACTTTTGTAAGTTCATTTAGCTCAGTATGTGGATTTCAGAATCACTGCGCAGTGTTCTTTGCTTGTGCTCTTTTTAAATGTAAGTTTAGCAATTTGAGTGCTGAGACAGAAGAGGGCTCTTTTCCTTTCTTTTCTCCCAAGAAATCAAAGACATCCGAATTGATTAAATTTGTGATACTCTCCATTTCTCTCCAAATATCTCTAAACCCACTGTCTCTTGTTCTTAACCTGCACATTGTCCAATCTCCTTCCAAGCGAAAAGGGGCTCATGGGACTTGCTTTCAACTGGCACCATAATTAAGGAGGATCACTTGTTCTTTCTGTTCAGATACTTTCACACAGGGCAGAAGGGACGTTCACAGCATCCTTCATAGCACATACTGATGCTGCAGTTCACCATTTCCCTGCTGAGCTCAATCTGCCCCCCTTCTTCCCTGGATAAGCTGTCTCATCCACAAAAGTACCTAGACTTGGTTTGAAGATAAAGAAATGGAGAATTGAAGGCTTCCTCCTCAACTCCCACAATCACCATGAATTTTTTATGGTTTTCTTTCACCATATAAACCCAGAAAGTTTCCAGGTTTTATTAAAGCAATGGGGATAGGATATCATATTTATATTAATCTTTTAAGAGGAAGAAAAGAGATCATTAGCTTAACTTCAAGCTATCCTAATTAAAAATAATTTGCAATATGGTTATAAAGTGATGAGCAAAAAAAATCTATCAATTACTACTGCTGTAATTTTGGAAATTCTGAAAAAGGACAATTAGGAGCTAAGTGTCAATGCTGCGAAAATAATTACTCAGTAATAGACCTCGCAGCACTCATCATAAGGGACAGCATGATCACGGTATGTTTCAGAAGTCCAGGCATACATGAGCCCTGGCTAACAAGATTTCTCTACTAATAACAAACAAGATGCTTTCCTGAAAGATCTAAAATGCAGCAAGTGAAACGACGTATTAACACACAAGCACCAGAGATGAGAGAAGGAGAAGAGACCACCTCCCATAAATCTTTGACAGAGAGGGGATGGCAGACTGCTGCTAAGATTCCCTCTTCCGCAGGGTGGTCCTTTTCCACCCAGCCCCTCTCATTTTTTTGATATCATAATACACCTTTGCAACTCTCCCGTCCACCCTCCCTTTACTAACTATTTTTCTGCGATCGTTCTCCATTCACCTCCCTTTTACTCCTCCTCAGACTCTTTGCTGTACACGTCTCCTACCTTTCTGGCTCAGTTTTGCTTCTCTTCTGTCTCTCTTGGTTAAGTCCCCCTTCTCTTCCCCCTGACAACACTGTAATATTTTCTCTGTTATTTCAACACCTCTGTTCTAGGTTCATATTTTCCATCACTTTCAAATCCTTCCCCTGTCTCCTCCTAATATTTTTTGCATTCTGCTCTCTTATCTGTTGGTCTTCTCGTTGGCTGCACACACAGACGTGACTCAGACACCCAGCACTGCTTTATGTGCGTTGCTGACATAGAAACCTTAACTCACTCTCAGCAAAGTGTCACGTCATTTTGTCAGTTGCCATTTATTTCGCTTGCTGGGAACTGAACAGGAAAGATGTTTACCAGGAGCAGTTAACACCCACGTGCCAAAGAGACTCATCAACAGCTGCTCGGATCAGTGGAAAGCTTTCCTAACTATCCACAAAAGGAATTATACAGGAACATAATCCTTAAGTTAAAAAAAAACCACGAAAAACAACTCACAAAACGGTTTCAATATTAAGAGCCTAAATTCTGATGACCACATGTATTTTCAAAGCAGCAAAATACAATTAGTTAAGGATCTGAAAAAAAAAAAAGCCAAAACAAATTCGGTTCTCTTTTCTCCACGTAATCCTATCCGTTTCTGTCGAACCAACGGGAATCGGTAAGTTGGTATGACATTAAAAGTTAAGGCCGGCGGCTGCCACAGCCCCAAAGCTCGGCGGAGACCCACAGCTGTCCCAGCGACGCCCCGGACCCCGGGCA